AAGAATCTTGCAGCTTGATTCTGTACCCTTTCCAATTTGTCTTTGTCTTTCTTTGTATATGGATCCCATACTGTCGCAGCGTATTCTAGGTTCGGTCTTACAAGTGACGTGTATGCAAGTGATTTTACTCTAGTTGGACATGCCCACAGATTACGTTTAATCACTCCCAATGTCTGTTTCGCCTTAGTTGTGATATTATTAACATGTGCACCCCACTTCAGTCCGCTTGTCAGCGTGACGCCCAGATACGGATGGATTTTTGTGGTTGCTAAAGCCTGACCACAAAACTGGTAGCTAGTTGCATGTGGTGTTCGTTTGTTTGTTATGTGCATAATGTAGCATTTTTCGGGATTAAACTGCATGAGCCATTTGCTTTGCCATTCTTCCAGGGTGTTCAGGTCTTTTTGGAGAAGTTGTGAGTCGGTCTGTGTAGAAAGCTCTACATACAATAGACAGTGACAGCAATCAATGTGACCAAAGTGCACATGATTTCCCAATAGAAAAGGTGCACCAAAGGAAATATTGTCTCTCTGTTATGAACTGTCTATGTTAAAAGACAGATCAATATGATCTCTCTATTTATTGTTTGCATATGTGAATAACTCTTAAGATATTATCTAAGAGGAATGAATCTATATATATTGTGCAACAAAAATGGCACAATGAGATATCCTATATAAGGGTTTGTTTAGGACTGTTCATCATCATTTGACTTGATGCTATTTTATAGTCAGTGATAAAAGTGATTTGTTAAGTCAAGGGTTATTTATTGTGGCCTTGCAATGGACCCTCTGCTACTATTATATCAAAATGATGGACTTCAACTGTGATAAATGTTAGCTATATAATTCCAATCTGCATTAGATAGCTTGAGATACTTAATGATGATAAAATACCTCTTTCTTTTCACAGATACATCATCATGCGGTGTCTTCGGTGTGTCACCTTTGAAGACGTGTTCTCGACCAATCCGAGTTGGTCTGTCTCGCAGGCAGAGGGTCCAAAAACTTCACCCCTACAACAAACCTAAAGAGTAGAGCTCCACACATTGCTCTATGTGGTGAGGCTGAACAATGTTACTTTTGGCATAGTAGTTATGTAAAACACCTGATGGAGTTATCGTGTTAATTTCTTGTGAAGTTGGCTGGAAAGGCTAACTTGGGGACATTGTAACCTCCTTTTGTCAGGTCTTGTGTTTAGATTCCCCTTTGCCCCATCGTTTGGCTGAAAAATGTTAATGCTGAGAATAGAAAAAAGATCCCTTGATATGTTATACTGATGTTGAAGATAGATGAGTTGTTCCCATTGAGTTGTGAACACATTGTACATGTATTGAATATTATACTGTTTACTATAGATGTGGCAGTCATTTTGACTTTTTGAAATCTCATGTTTTTTTATGTCACTTGAAACTGTTATTTGACTTGAATTAGTTGCTAATAGAAATATATTGCCCTCTTGTGGGCAAATTATTTACAATTGTTAGAATACACAGGAAGTGCCAGTGTTGGAAGAACATACTAGGTTTTGTACATTGTTCATTGTACTGAAGATCTGCAAGTATTCTTTCTCAAAATAGACCATGCAGACTAGTAGATTGCAACTCTTCAGTAGACCACAAGGAGGCATCTCTATCTCATGAAAATAGGACTGGGATAAAGGTCTTGCCATACTTCACAGAATAATTGATAAGAGAAGGTACTGCAACAACACTTCTGAAAGTGAAATTTGTTGATAACAAAAAAAACTGAAGATGAGTACCAAAAAGTTTTGGGGAAAAAATCTCCTCTGTATGCTTGTTTTTGCTACTAAGAAGCAATGTACTCTATGTTCTCTGTATGGATATGGTGGAAAGAAACTGTCCACTATGATCTTATAGATTTTAGTTAATGTTGAAATGTGATACGAAGTGAGTGAAATATCTTGCACCGGGTCTTTTAGCTAACATAGCAGTTAACATCTCTATCTCCTCCAAGTAGATACTGTGTTGACTTACGTTCCGCTTCAACAGTGAAATGTTCTACATTGCACAATTTAGGATCCTTGTTGCAGGGCGGGGTTGTTCGAAGAAAGCTCATGTTATGATTCCAATTTTTGTGCCTGTACTGTTTTTGGTTTTGCCTTAATCATGCATACACACACACACACACACAGACACACACACACACAGACACACAGACCGACACACACACCGACACACACAGACACACAGACACACACACACACACACACACACACACACACGAAGAACTACTCACAACTAGTATTTGCCATATGACCACCAGGGTATCTCACTTTATTGCATATTACAAAAGTAGTAAACTGTACACATCAATCCACAAAAACTGCATTGGAATGTTACCAACTAGCAACATTCTATATGCAAAGTCACTATTGACTCAATGTTGGTAATATCAAATTCAACCAGAAGTGACACTGGACATTGTTTAAGTTGTAAAATCCACCATGAGATCACACCAATTTAAATTGTTTCTTTGCATGTACCATATCTTCAGTTGTATGTTCAAATAATTTACAACAATCCAACAACCAATAAATCAAATTGGTGTGATCTAACAGTTTGATACGATTCCTGTTGTCACCGTTATATTTTGGACCACTTACATCAAAAAGGACATTTTGTTCGAGTTCTACAACAATGTGAAAAAAATAAATGGGGTATGACAAGCTCAGTCTGGTATCTGCCATTAACCAAAATATAAAAAGCAAGTCTACTTTTGAAACAAATACCAAAACTACAGCTTTTATCATACAATGCTAAAACAAACTTCAAAGATATTACAAGTCATCTGAGACACCTTTCAGCAGAGCAACATTGTACAAAGATATGTGTTCTGTGTGATCCATAAAATATCAAAGCAACATTACTCTATCTCAGCATTTGGCAAGCCTTAACTCACACTTGATTGCTCAATGCTGAAAAAGGATCATATGTTTTTATCCTGTGGTGCCGTGTATGTGGAAAGCTACACAAGCTAAACAACTTTGTTATATCAAATGAACAACTTTCATACTAGTATAAATACAGCCATACTGGA